GGGCTCTGGCTTCTCTTTCCCGCCTCAGGTAATACTTCCTTCCCAACCACCGCCTTTTCCCCCAGTCTCCTCTCCCCTTCCCTGCCTCCAGCTGTGTGGCCTTGAGCAGACAGGATAATAATCGCCCTCGGTTTACATCTACCGCAGAACTCTTTTTAAGTGCGAAGGGGCAAGATCCCTTAGAGGCCTGCTGCTCGGTGGAGTCCTGGATGAACGCACGTCTCGTTTTTTGTTTTCACTAAGGGCTCCATACACATTCGAATGAGTGAATTAATGATTCTCCAAGAAACCACTCCCCTCTCGCCATGAGGTTTCCCCTCGCATTCCTCTGTCTATCCACCCTCCTTCCTGCAAGGTCGCGCTTCCCAGGCAAGTTGGCGGTGGGCTCTGGTCAACTCCCAAGCCATTCCCTAGTCTAGCCTCGAGCCCCCCCCCCCCCGAGAGGAAGCCAGGCCCCCTTCCCGCGACCAGGGTCAACTCCAGGGCAGGGTGTTTCTAAGTTTACATCCGAGTCGGTGGCCTGGGAGTTATCTGTCGGCCCATTCTGCACGGAAACCGATCGATCCTCCCGGATTCCTCGGTGTCTCCCCCCCCCCCCTCCGTCCGTCCCGTCCCAAAAGACAGCTTTCAGAAAACCTCCAACCAGACTTAAAAACAGACGGTGCGGATTTAGACTTTGCTGGACAAGGAGAGACCGTGGCCCCGGCTACGCGGCGGGGTCTGTCCGGTTTTCTCACTTTGCCTGCCCATTCTGCAGGCCGAGGGCCTGGGTGCCAGCCCCTCCTCCGGGGGGTGGGGGTGGGCGTACCCTCCTGACTCCCACCGAGGTCCTGGAGCCGGAAAGAGACGCAGACACCGCCCCCCCCCCCCCGAGGCCCCGCCGCAAGCGCAAGGGAGGGTTAAAAACCCAATCTGCCTCCCTGGACGCGCCAGAGGCCAGACCGAAGCTGACCCCTTGGGAGGTCGGGAAGTGGGGGTGGGGGGTGGTGATGGTGGTGAGGGACCAGATTCTGCATCACCGTGGGGCGTCAAGGCTGCCGGCCAGGTCAGGGGCGTCCTGCCTTTCCAACCCCACCCCACCCCACCCCATTGCACCACGTGACCTCAAAGAGCCGCCGGCCCGGCCGGCCCGGGCTTTGGAATGCAGCGACCAGAGCACAGAGAGGCCAGCGAGCCGCGAGGAGGGAGAGAGGGGGGGGGGTGGGGCGCAGAAGGGGCCCCTGCTATTCTTTCCCCACTGGGTAAGCTAAGGAGAAGCAGCTAAGGAGAAGGAGGAGGAGGATCGGTCTGGTCCAGGGAACCTGTAAATACTGGACTCCGGGGAAACTTGATCTGCCATCTGTGGCTTCCTTATTTAGGATCAGGCTAGGTCCCCCGTTGCTGGGGGCCCAGCTCACGTGGGCCTCCCAGAATCTGGCAGGGGAAGCCAGGCCTTTGCTTCCTGATGGGTGCCGATCAGCGGAGAGGAGTTGGGTGCACCCCCCCCACACACACACACACCAAATAGTCCAGCATTTAGCTCACACTGACTGCCTCTGTCTGCCCCCATACTGAATGAAGTGTGTCAGGGTGGCATGTCTGTCCTGCCCTGGCTTTCCCCCGGCCTACGTGCCCTTTTCTGAATGCTTGGGCACAGCCTCAGTTGGTTTGAGCCTAGATACAGAAATCCGATGGAGACCCGATTCTGGGGCCACTGGCACCACCACACCTAGGTGGCAGGCAGGGTTGTTGCTGGCATGCTCAGATCTGGGGCTCTGGGTTCTTCTGGTCCCGGGTGGGAAAGCAGCCTCCCCGCCAGTCTGAGGGGAGCATAGGAAACAAGATAGCTCTTGAACTTTCAGCTGCTGTGGGCCAGTACCTAAGTCACGCAGCGACCTGGGGGGATTTGCAGGGCTGGCATTTGGACCTTATCTACGGTGAGGGGGTACCACGAAGAGAGGAGGGCCTCCAGGCAGACAGACATTCCCTCGCTAAAGTATGGAGGTGCAGGGTGCCCCAGGCCCCGGGGGGTTCCAGGAATGTAAGAAAGTGGAGGGGATGAGGTAGGGGAAGCCACGTGGGTGGGTGGGTGGGGGCTCGTGGGCCCCGCCAAGCCTTTGAGCAGCTTCATCCCGGAAGCCTCGGGTGAACTGCTGCACCACTCCATGTAGACAGCATCAGATTTGCGTCCGGGAGAGCAGGATGGATTTGGATTTGGGACTGAGAGTGAAAACGGCTGAAGAGGCACCTGCTGCCAGCCTCCCCTGACAGAAGAGCAGCGTGAATGGAAGAGGAGGGGCCGCCAGTGTTGGGGACTCACCGTAGGTGGGTGTGAGCGGAGCCGGGCGGATTGCTGTGAACGGGGTGACTTAGGTCTCGGGTGTGAGGGCTCCCCCCCCCCCCCCCGCTGATGAACAGGTTGATGAAGTGGTTTTGTTATTAGTGGTGTTTCAGGGCCCCACACTTCACCGATTCTCTGACTAAATCCTCACTACCAGCCATGAGGGAAGCTTGTGTTATCTTTCCAGGAGGGGCTGAGTGATGGGCCTCTGTCGTGGCCCAGCATGCACCATCCAGAATCAGAAGGCCCTGGGCACTTGCTTTCCCAGGCACACTGCAGGGGAGCCATGCTCTCTACACCAGCTCCACCCCCGCCCCCTCCCATGTGTCTGATTTCCCCAACCTCCTGTCTCCCTCCCTCTACCTCACTTTGGCACAAGCCTTAGGACTGGAGGACACAGGGCTGTGCATCCCTGGTGTTGAGGACTCACCAACAACACAAAACAGAATGGAGACTTGGGGGACAGATGACACACACAACCACACACACACACACACACACACACACACACACACACACACCCCTAAAAAACCAGCTAGCTCCGAGGTTAAAGTAATAACCATGGCCAGTCCTGGTGATCTTTAACCCCAGCACTAGGGGGCAGAGGCAGGTGGATCTCTGTGAGTTCCAGGTTGGCCAGGGCTACACAGTGAGACCTCGTCTCCAAAACAAATAAAAACAAACAAAAAACCCAATAAAAATAAATAAATGAGCAAAATAACAAAAAAAAAAATGGGGCTAAGGTATAGGTCAGTGGTAAAGTGTTTGCCTAAGCATGTACCAAGTCCTGAGTGTGATCCTCAGCAACACATAAACTGGCTGTGTCGGTATGCATTTGGAATTCCAGAACTTGGGAGATGGAAGAATCAGTGTCGTCCATGGCTGGAGAGATGGTAAAGGACCTACTGTGTGAGTGTGAGGATCTGAGTTCCTACCTCCAGTGTTCACAGACACGTTAGATGTGGTGTGCCGGCAGGGAGAAGGGGCAGAGGCAGGCTGATTCACCCTGGAGCTCACTGGTGGCCACCCTACCCGGACTGATTTGCTCCGTGTTCAATACTAGACAACAGCCCCCCCCACTCCCCCTCCCCCCAGTCTCAAAAATAAGATGATTGAGTGACTGAGAAAGACACCTACCTGGGATTGTCCTTTCTGGTCTACACACACACACACACACACACACACACACACACACACACACACACACGAACGAAGTTCAAGGTCATCTTGAGTCACCCTTGTGAGTTTGAGGACAACCTGGGATACAGGAAAGACTGTCTCCTAATGTAATAATTCTGGTCTAGATTGGGCTGGGCTCAGCAGTTAAGAGCACTTGGCTGCTCTTCCAGAGGTCCTGAGTTCAATTTCCAGCTCTTTAAAATAAGCAAATAAAACATTTCAGTGACTTCAGAGAGGGACGTGGAAGGTCTCTGTTGGCCTTCCTGCTTGCTTTTTATAGAAGGGCATCGTAAGCATGTAGGTCCAGAGGAGGCTCCCAGCCCCTTCCAGCTCTGCCTCCCTTGGTTCAGTCTTGGCCCAGGAACACCTACAGGATCTCAATCGCTTTAGAAGACAAGACAGCCGCTCCATGTGAGCCCCCCTCCGCCCCCACCCCCCCATCCCTCTGTTCCAGTATTGGGGGAAGTACCTCTGTTTCCAAGCTGCTTCTCAATAGCATGCGGGGTCCAGAGTCAGGGAAGGAAAATGGAGCAGGTGGGTGACCAGGAGAGAGTCAACAGGCCCCCTCTTGAGAGGGTATTTGGGGCTAGGGGGTCCAGCTTCACTTCTCACTTTGTGTGTGTGTGTGTGGGGGGGCGCTGCCTGACTATATGTCTGTGTATCACTCACACACAGTGCCCCGGAGACCAGAAGAGGAGGCCATGGGGGCCCCTGGCTCTGGAGTTACGGATGGTTATGAACACCCCACATGTGCTGGGAATCAAACCCTGGTCCTCAGCGAGAACAAGCGCTCATACCGCTGAGCCATCTTCTCCAGCCCCCACCGGTCACTCTTGAACTAAGTGAAAGTTACACCCTGGGCATCTGGTCCGGGGTTTGAAGGCCGGAGATTATTTGTAAGGCTGTTAGACACACGTTAGAACGCCCACTTGCCTCCCACCTCCCCCACCATGGTAACTGAGAAAAGAGGCCCGTCACTGAAACCCTGAAGGGCCTTCTGGAGTGGAACTGTATGAGCAGAAGGGTACCCGAACTTTCTGTCTCTCGGTTTGGGTGTTCCAGTGAGGCTACCACTACCTTTCTAGACTCATGGGTAGATGAGTCCCGGTAGACTCGCGTCTCTCAGGGGCCTTCCCTCATCCACCTCCTCCCTCCCTGCTGTGTGCACACTCTGTGCCCCCGCCAGGCTTTGTTTGGTTTGCTTCACTAGTTATCCATGAACTTCCCTTAACTTCTGAGCAAGGAGTGCTTGAGCCCTCCTCCTCTGCATCTTTCAGAGATGTCCAGACCTCAATACATAGAAGACACGGATCAGGGCCTCCATTTAGAGACCACCTCGAAAGAGGAAACAGAAGCCACGCACGCAAAGAGACATAGTTGTAATCCCACGATTCAGGGGGCCGAGGCAGGAGAATCAACGTAGGTTCAAGGCCAACGAGGGGTAACGGCAACACCCTACTTTAAAAAACAAAACTCAAAGACATGGAAGGCAACACACGCGATAGAACATACCAGACTGTATTCACATGCCAAGGACGAGTCGTCTCACGATGCATGTATCACCGTCGTCTCACATGCATTTCTGGCTGAGCCACTGCACCCCTGGGCAAAAGAACACTGACTGACACTTGGCGTCGACACATGGGGCAAAGGTACCTCTTGTTCTGTCAGGATTATACACAGGAGAGCCAATAATGAACTGGACAGTTCCCAGTCTCTGGGGGCCTTTTAATTGGCAAGCAGTTCCTAAATAAGGTGTGTGGAGGGACTTGAACTCATGACACCCCTGTCCCCCCTGCCTCGGTTTCCCCAGGGCTGGGACTACTGGTGTATGCCACCATACCCCACTGTGGCTGCTTCTTCCTAAGCTGTGAGACCTCAGATGAATCAATTAACCTTTCCAGACCACACTGCTGCTTCTTCTGTAAGATGAACATATCTATTCTGCTAACCTTGAAAAAAAAAATCAAGTGAGTCAGATGCTATATCTGGAAGTACTTTGTAAATATAAGGGGGGAGAGACTGTATCTATGGACGAGGAAATGAACAGGAGAGGTTTCATCCAACGTCACGGAAGAGCAGGTCTTCCCGAGCACTCAGTCCTACCTGAACTGTTCCCCCTGCCACGGAACTACCTCACAAGAGGACAGGGCCAAAGTCCAACAAGGTCCCTTAGCAACCCATTAAGGTTCACTTTACCAAGCCTATTGTCTCAACGGTGGGAGGCAGATATGTCAGAACTCCCCCGGCAAATATGTCAGAATTCTTTTCCGTTAATGAATTAGAGTCTACCCAAACCCAGACGTTTGGAGTTACATAAGCATCATTCAGAGCTTCTGTAACAGCGGCTTTCACTTTGGAAAAAACAGCATTTTCATTAAAATGGTGTTATGTAAAAAAAGTGTTTTTTTTTTGTGTGTGTCGGAACAGGCAAGCATGCCCGCTTAAGGAACACAGGTGTGTACGTATCACGATGATGGTGCCTTGTAGGTTTTGACTTCCTTGGACAAGATTGAGACAAATGTCAGGCTCTGAGAAGTAGGGTAGGGAGGCCACACCAGCCGCTCCCGTCCCCCCACGAACTAAGGTCTTGGCCTTGCTTAGCAGGATGAGTTCCACTGAAGTTCACAGGAAGTTACTTCCGTCATCCATTGTAATCTGACTGCGTTATCAGTCTCATCAGCCCCGACCCCGGCAGATCCCTTTCTCCCAAGGCACCTCATGGAGGACAGATCACCAAAAAGCACTCGAAATGGGGCCACAAGATGGCCCAGCCAGTAAGAGGGCTCCCCATGAAAGCCTCCAAGAGTTTGATCTCCAGAGCCCGATGTGAAGGTCTGGAAAGACGTCCTCACACCGCCTCCAGCGCAGTGGGACGCACACACAACACACAATCCTTCTTCTTCTTCTTCTTTTTTTTTTTTTTGGTCTTTTGAGACAGGTTTCTCTGTGTAGCTTTGTGCCTTTCCTGGAACTCACTCTGTAGCCCAGGCTGTCCTCGAACTCACAGAGATCCGCCTGCCTCTGCCTCCCGAGTGCTGGGATTAAAAGCGTGCGCCATCAACACCTTGATATGGAGCCGCTCCCCCTAGAAGGCAAGTGGACACCGTTCCCATGAAACCTGGAGCCTTTTGAGAGTTCAAACCCAGGCCTGGGGCCTTAAAGACTGAGGAAGGGCTGCCTGGGTCCACTAGAGTCACCTCCATCCTCCTCACAAGGAGGATGGAGCTACGGGGTGGTGGTGGGGAGCTGGGCTAGGAGGATGGGATGGCAGGCTTGGGAGTGGCTGGCACCCAAGGGTGGCCGGCCTTGCCCATCAAGTGTCCTTTCCAGTGTGGAGGTCACCCAGTCTCGAGGTCAACTCCGCGTCCTGCACTCTGGAGTCCTGGTTTCGGCCCCTGCAACACTTCCTTTCCAAGATTCATGAGCTGTATTCTTATGTAAGGCCCCTGGGTTCTAAGCAGGAAATACCATAACTGACTCGAACCCAGGTCTGGCTGGCTGGCTGGCTGGCTTCTCCATTCGCCCCGGTTTCGGAGGGCGGAACCACTGAGCCTCTCCCCGGAGTCTGGAGCCCAGAAACACCAGCACCCTGGCACCGAACAGGGAGAGCGGAGCCGCTGGAGCGGCCTTTTAAGTAGTTGGGAAGGGGGTGTGGCCGAGAGGACCGGGGGGCGGCGGCCCAGGCG